GATGGTAATCTTGGGCATAGCATTTCACCAAATCATTTCACCAAATATATATATATATATATATATATATATATATATATATGCAAATGGGCACAAGGATGGTGTTCCCTCTATGGGCAAAGAAAACAAATTTTAGAAGGCGATGAGTCACAATAACGTGGCTGAGGAATGTTGACCAGACCACACATTAGAAGGTGAAGGGACGACGACGTTTCAGTCCGTCCTGGACCATTCTCAAGTCGATTGTGACACAATCGACTTGAGAAGGTCCAGGACGGACCGAAACGTTGTTGTCCCTTCACCTTCTAATGTGTGGTCTGGTCAACAAATTTTAGAACATCTCAAATGCTCCACTCTATCCCAAAAATGACAAGGGATAGAGAAGATGTATATATTTATATAGATAAATATAAACGACCGAGCTAAAACTGCACATCCAGGAGAGGCAAAGAGAGAAGGCCATAAGTGTAATAGAGAGGAATCCAAAATACTTTTTCTCCTGTGCAAAATCTAGAACAAAAACTTCATCTGTCATTGGATCCTTGTGCAAGGGTGATGGAACTTCCACAGATGACAACAAAGAAATGAGTAAAATACTGAGGCTAAAGTAAGATTCTGTTTTCAGTGGACCCTTGCACACATTGAAGTTCAATGATTCAAATGAATTCTTAATGTGATACCAACATTGAACTATATGATGTCACCCTAACCCCACTGGACTTTGGAGTACCCATTGACAGCATGCCTATGCACCTGGAATTCTATATTCATCAAGAATTACAAATCTCCAAAAGATATTTATGGCTGAAACAGGACATCAATGCCTTTTGGAGACAGAGCCTACATGCTGATGTTATCCCCATCATACTTAAAACAGCAGAGATTGTGCCACTTCACAAAGTTGGTAGTACAGCAGATGCCAAAAATTAGATCACTAGCTCTAACATCACACATCTAAATCTCTGAAAGAGTGTTAAGAACAAAGATCACAAACATGGAATCAGTGTCTACATAACCCTAGGTGACATAGGTTCAGAGCAGAGTGCTCCTGCCTCTCTGCTGCTAGATCACTATGACCTAGAATAGTGATCTAAGGCCAACCCGTGGCCTTAGATGCCATAGAAGACAAGGGAAAATACTGATGTATTATACATAGATTTCACAAAAGCTTTCAACAAATGTGACCATGGTGTTATTGCATAGAAAATGTTTAAGAAAATGCACAAGGAATTGCTGTCAGAGTAGGGAGATGGGTCTTTAACTACCTAACGAATAGAACTCAGAGTGTAATAGTTAATTAAGTAAAAATTTGGATATCCACCTTGAAAAGCTCAGTCTTCAAGGTACTGTGCTTGCAGAAAGAAATCACATAAATGTGATGTATCAGTGAGAATATCAGTAGGAACCAAGAGGAGGATTCGAAGCTATGCTCTCAGTACTCCCAAGGAATGTCGGGGTGTGGTGGTTTAAGGCATTTCCTTGGGGGTATGAAGTGCATAGGTTCAAATTCTCCTCATGGCTCCTACTGATGTTCTACAGTGCTTGCTTCAGTAGTTTTTCTCAAACCTTATATCAAACTTAGACAAGCATACAAACTTTAGTATTGTATCATCCCTTGCAGATGACACTAGGATTTTCATGAGAATAGACAATGTAGGGGATGCAGCAAACCTCCAATTTGATGTTACAGTATTCAGGTCTTTCAATGGGCCACAGAAAATAACATGATTTTTAATTAGTCAAGTTCCAGCTGCTGTGCAATTGAAAGAGCGAAAATATCAAAATGGAAACTACGTATATAATGCAGTCAAACCACACCATTGGAAGAAAAAGAAATATAAAAGATTTGAGCAGTCATGTCGAAGGACCTTACTTTTAAAGAACACAATGAATTAGCTATCAGAAATGCATGAAAAATGACAGGTTAGATAACAGGAAATTTTAAGCTAATATGCAGTACCAGTGATACAGTAGCCAGTATGGGAGAGAGGTGACCTGGTAACTGCTACATCGGCCATAGAACTGAGAGTGGAGTTGCTGGCTAGCAGTGGCCTACCTCCTTACTCCCAAACAAGTAATTACCTAAATTTAGTTATAGGATGAGATCTACACTTGTGGTGTCCCATCTTCCCAGTACTCTGTCGTGTAACGCTTTGAAACTACTGACGGTTTTCGCCTCCACCACCACCTCACTTATCTTGTTCTAACTGCCTACCACTCTGTTTGCAAGAGAAAACTTTAATATTTTTTCTGCATCTTTGTTTCCTAATCCTTGAGTCCTCTTGTTATTGAAGTTGCTGGTTTCAGGAATTCCTGTCAATTTGGTCGATTCCTGTTAGTATTTTGTAAGTGGTGATCATATAGCCTCTTTTTCTTCTGTCTTCAGTTCTTGGCATGTTTAATGTCTAGTCTCTCCTTATAATTCTTATACAGACGATGAGTCACAATAATGTGGCTGAAGTATGTTGACCAGATCACACACTAGGTGGAGGGACGACGACGTTTCGGTCCGTCCTGGACCATTCTCAAGTTGATTGTCTTGAAAATGGACTTAATGGACCCAATCGACTTGAGAATGGTCCAGGACGGACCAAAACGTCATTGTCCCTTCACTTTCTAGTGTGTGGTCTGGTCAACTTATATTTCTTGTTTTTCAGTTCCAGAAACCATTTTGTAATACAGTATCCACTCAATTTAACAGCCTATATGGGGCTGAGCCCAAGTCGTTATTTACGGAGCTCCGTTATTTCCGACGTTAAGTCGGGTCGGGTAATTTTTCAAGTAACATTCAGGTAGGATATATTTTATACTGTATAACTAAAATTAAATAAAGTTCATTGTGTAATTGCATTCCAATTTAGTGCACGGCCGACGATTAAGCCAGTTGCTGGCTGCTGCATGGATGATGTGTAAACACGCTCTGATCAAGTCCAGATGGGTGGGAAAAAATTGATTCATTCCTTTCTATTGAAAAATATTTCATGTATCAATCAGCGAGTTAATATTGTCTTAATAAAATTTTAGAGATGTGTTTTGATTTACCCTGAACAGTGCAGGTAATGTATTTTTAATGTTACGACACAGGCTGTGGCGGCCATGCCATAACAATGGCGATCGAGCCTTGTCACTGAGAGCTAGCCAAGACGAAATATTTTGAGCTCACCTTTTCTCTGCTGACGATAGAATATACATTTGCAGAGACTAATATGTAGCTTTTGTTGAAAAAAAACAACTAATATCTTGTAATACTATAATAAAATTGGTAAATTGACTGACTTTTAATGTTACAACACACGCTGTGGCGGCCATGCCATAACAATGGCGATCGAGCCTTGTCACTGAGAGCTAGCCAAGACGAAATATTTTGAGCTCACCTTTTCTCTGCTGACGATAGAATATACATTTGCAGAGACTAATATGTAGCTTTTGATGAAAAAAAACAATTAATATCTTGTAATACTATAATAAAATTGGTAAATTGACTTACTTTTAATGAAGCTGAAGATTACGAAGCTGTGAAGATTACGTCATCCTCTGCAGCGCTTGTTTTATATTGTTTATGTTGTATACAGGGTACATACTGTATGTACACTTATTTTCAGGCATATTTTAATAGAGTATCCTTCTGTTTCTTGATGTCACTTACTGTACTTTTCCCGATGTTAAACTCTGCTGCTGGTCGTGCATGAGAATATCCTTTATCAAGTTTCTTAATTAACTCCAGCTTCTGTGCAACCGTCAGGCGCTTCCTTTGGGTAACTTTTGGCATTTTGTAAATTAAAAAGATCACAATTACAGTACAGTAATATCCTTCACAATTGAAGCTAGCCGCGCGAGTTCACGGTAAACAATGGGAACACATGGCCGGCGGAGTACATACTAGGTCCGTGGGAAAAAAAATACCTAGTGCCTATACATACTATAAAAGGTATTTATTAAGAAAACAAAGACTTTTGCTTAATAAAAACTGTTTCAAAATATTTTATTAATAATAATTTACAATTTTCTTCATTAAAGTGAATCATTTTAAAAGAAAATTAAGATGTAATATATGACTCTGGACGATCCAGGTCGGTGGCGGCCTGGTCGCCATGTGAGGGGATGCTGATGCCACAACAAACCCAATACCGACTGTCGGTAATATCGACCGCAGACCGGTATAGCAGGCTCTAGCTACTGGGCTCCCAAACCGGTCGTTAATACCAGCAGATCGGTATAAAAGAGGCCGTTAAATTGAGTGGATACTGTATGCTTTTGCACCTTTTGTAGTTTGTGCTTCTTGAGATATGGGCACCATACAACTGCTGCATACTCCAATTTTGGTCTCACAAAAGTCACGAACAGTTTTAGTATTTCACCATCAATATAATTAAATGCATGTCTGAAGTTGAAAAGTGATGCATATGCTCCTCTCTCAATGTTCTGTATATGCTCCTCTGGTGACAGTTTACTATCTAAAGCCACAAGTGAGAGAGGTGGGGTGAATGAGCTTGTGCTATATCAGAGAAAATTAGTTGGTTTGTTTATATAATTAGGGGAGTTCTTTCGGCGGGTTTTGAGGCTTCAGTCTCTATTGAAGCTATCAGTGGTTTGTTTTTGACTTGCTGAATTTCTGTTTACTACCCTGGTGAGCTGGCAAAAATAAATGTCACCACTTCTTGTGCCTCTGTGAGGTGGGCTATGGTTCTGGTATTGGTCCCCGTGAGGCCTGTAGAGTTGCACAGCTGATGCCACCAAGTAGATGATACTATATCAGTATACATTACAGTAGCACGAGGGAACCATGAGGGGCTCACCCAGAAATTGGTATTTCATTGTATTCAATGCTGCTTTTTTATTATTTCATTTACTAGTTTATTCTTTTGTGATTGTATTGTGAAATTGTTATTAAATTCCTTTTAAATGCTTTGTTAATAATACCAAAGTTGTTTAATTTGATTTTTCCTTCAAGATTTTAAGAATTTTAAAGCCATATACTCAATTAAGCTTTTCAATTTCAGAATATCCTTGGGGGTTCTCTACAAAACCTTATCCCGGGATCAGAACGTCTAGTAAAAGCCAAATCTGATGGGTCTCTAGCCTCTTCAGCAACAGCAGCCACCAATGACACTTCTTTCAATCGTATGAAGAGTCGTAGCTTGGAACCTCTAACTGGCCTTGCAATGTGGAGTTCAGAGTGCCAAGTCATAGAACTCACAAAAGGAGACAGGGGACTAGGCTTCTCAATTCTTGACTATCAGGTGAGTGTTTTCATATTTATTTCTTGACCCTAAGTTATCCTGCAGGTGTGAAGACAAGTGGATTATTATTCCAAGAACGCTAGCCGAGAGAAATTTTTCTTTGTCTCGCTTGGTGCATTTAAAAAGAGCCACAGTACTTCAAATTTTGCTAGCAGATTTTGTCTGGCTACTTTTACACTGTGGTCTTAGTAGACACATTCTCAGTTCTGATTCACAGTGTTGCTTATCAAATACACATTTTGTTATTTTTTCTTTATCTTTGCTTTTCACTTGTTTACACGAGTATCCTGCATTTACCATCAGTTGTCAACTACTCCTCCTTTATCTAATATCATTCCTCATAGAATAGCATCTAAACTAACTATTCTACATCCTTCTGTCATACAATTTCATAGTTCTACAGCACAAATAGATATTGATTACATCTCTCATTCTTTGAGGTCTCGGTTATTGCAACTTGAAGCTCTTAGACATTGTATCTTGGGGTTCTTAGATATTGTATTTTGGGGCTCCTAGATATTGTGTCTTGGGGCTCTTAGATATTGTATCTTGGGGCTCTTAGATATTGTATCTTGGGGCTCTTAGATATTGTATCTTGGGGCTCTTAGATATTGTATCTTGGGGCTCTTAGATATTGTATCTTGGGGCTCTTAGATATTGTATCTTGGGGCTCTTAGATATTGTATCTTGGGGCTCTTAGATATTGTATCTTGGGGCTCTTCGATATTGTATCTTGGGGCTCTTAGATATTGTATCTTGGGGCTCTTAGATACTGTATCTTGGGGCTCTTTGATATTGTATATTGGGGCTCTTAGATATTGTATCTTGGGACTCCTAGACATTGCATCTTAGAGGTCTTGGATATTGTATTTTGGAGGTAGCATCACACTAGGCTGTGTTTACACCACAGCCACGAGGCCTACCCAGGGTATGGCACATCCCTCGGTGATAATATACTGGCAATATATAGTGTAATATGGGAATGTGGATATAGGAATTAGTAATAAAATAAGTGAAAACAATTGCAAGCTGGAAATTAAGCAGAAAATTCCTTGTAGAAATACAAACAAATAATAAATCAGTGTTATAAATCAACTTCAGTAACTGGAAACTGGTGGCATCTGTCCTGGGACTACAATGGTCAACTGTACATTACACTGGTACCATCTTTTCTACCATACCCTAAGTACCTGCCATAAAGTTTGAATAAATGAACATATATAATAGTGGCACTTCAATTAACAAGCAACTCTATTTACGAGCATTTCGAGTAACAAGCGAGCCACTCGCAGCAAATTTGTCTCTATTGATGAGCTTCACCTCTATTAACGAGCAAAACCACGTGGTGCTTCCTAGCGTCTCGCAGGTTCTCGCAAATTCTCGGGCGCCTCTGACGCCAGTGTTGTTGTTGTATCATGCACGACAAGCATCCCTCTGCATTTATTTGTGCTTTTCTTTGTGGTTTTGTGACTACAATTTGTAACGCACGATGTCGCCAAAGAAGCTGCTTGCTAAAGATAGTGTGTTGTCAAGATGAAGACAGACACAATTACTGTGGATTTGAAGAAGGAAATTATAGCAAAGCATGAGCGTGGTGTCCGTGTGACTGATCTCACAAGGGAGTATGGTAGGGCCTCATCAACAATTTGCACCATTAGTAAGGGGATGAGGTAAGGGAGGATGCTGCCTCTTCCAGTGAGATCAGGGAAGTGTTGGGAATATTTGAAAAGGTGACTGCATTCTTGGAAAAGCATAACCTTGATAAAGCAGTGACAACCCGGTATGTGAACATGTTTAATGACAATTTGCTGTCTCGTTTTAGGGGACATCCTAAAACAAATACAAAAGCACTTGTCAATAGATACGTTCTTTGCAAAAGTAGAGAAAAGTAGAGCCAGTGATAGTGAACCACAACCCGGTCCCAGTGGGGTGAAATTCCCAAGAAGAGAGAGGCCGCCTGACTCAGAGGTGGATTCTCCTTCCACACCATAACCGCTCTCCTCCTTCCCACCTCCCCATCGTCTCCCTCAAGCCAGCAATGACTCTTCATAAGGTAAAGTAAACATGAAAACAGTACAACAAAACACAACAAACAGGTGGCCTCGTAGCCTGGTGGATAGCGCGCAAGACTCGTAATTCTGTGGCGCGGGTTCGATTCCCGCACGAGGCAGAAACAAATGGGCAAAGTTTCTTTCACTCTGAATGCCCCTGTTACCTAGCAGTAAATTGGTACCTGGGAGTAAGTCAGCTGTCACGGGCTGCTTCCTGGGGGTGGAGGCCTGGTCGAGGACCGGGCCGCGGGGACACTAAAGCCCCGAAATCATCTCAAGATAACCTCAAGATAATTACATTTGCAGTTTTATATTTACATTATAAAATGTCATACAAGTATGGATGTTTTTGGGAGTGGAACGGATTAAATTTATTTCCTTTATGTTAAATGGGGAAATTTAAGACGAGTTTTCCACATAACGAGCTTGGTGCCAGAACGGATTAAACTCGTTAATCGAGGTGCCACTGTATTACAAATGTACAGTATACATATACAGTAATATAAATTTAATAATACATCTTCAGAAGGAATGACATCATCATTCCTTCTGAAGATGTATTATTAAATACGAAAGTACAGGTACTGAAGGAAATTCTTGTTTCAATTCTTCCTCCGTGGCCTGACACTGTCACATTTTTCATCAAGTGTTAATTTTTGTGATTTACACACAATATTATAAATATATATATATATATTATAAATAGTAAAATTACTGAAGTCACCAAGGGATACATACAGTGAAGCACAAATACAATACATCAGACAATGGAGGTGTGTGGCAAGTGTTTTGTAGCATTTGGAAGACGTATTGTAGGCGTAAAGTGTTGCATCTGTAATGCAACATTCCACCTGAACTGTGCAGAATTATCTACAGAATTATCTACAGCATGCACAAACAACCTAGGAATATACTCTACTGAATTTGCAAAAATGACAGGTTAATATGGGAAAACATAACCTTACTGATGAATGTCATACCTGAAGCACACAGATTAACATGGACAGAAAAGCTACCAGTGATATATGCAGACTTTGATAACAAAGCTGGATAACAACCAAAACACAGGAATAGGTAGTTTAGAGAACCACAGCAGTAGTGTAGAGGGAGAGAGTATTGTGGTACAAAACAACAGCAATATTGCAGTGCCACGTGGTATAATCAATGACAGCAACAGTGGGAAAGAGTGCATAAACGAAGGAATTGGGACGAAAAAACGAAGATGGCATCCAATAAATATCCTGAAAAATAAAAACTGAGAATATTTGCAAATTCTGTGCACAAGGAATATGCAAATAAAGGAAATTAGGTGCAAAATGCACTTTTCTGCATTCTCGAAAATGCAGGAACATATTGGCATGGGGTACATGCCATTTTGGAATGAAGTGCAGATACTTCCACCCTAAACTATGTAAATTTTCAATTAGTGACAAAAAATGTTACAATCTTCAGTGTCCGGAATTCCATGTGAGAGGTACACAGCATTATAGACGGGAAGATCAATATGATACTACTGGAAATTTTTTAGAGGAAGGCAGAAACAGAGTAGAACATATAATAGAAAGGAACAGGCAGGTAGAACCACTGCATGATTACAGAGAGGGAGGGAGATATCCACAAGGCTGGAATACAAGTCATCATCAAGCACACAGGTACTACACCACACAACACCCACACTACTACCAAAACTGGACGAACCACTGCCAAAATAACACATCCTGGACCAGGGGAGAGGGGGGAGAACTACCAAAGCCCACCAAAAGTGACACGCAATATGGGAAATCATTCATATTTGCAAACGTACAAGGCCTAAAATCAAAATCAAGAATTAAAGTTTGTTCATAAATGACTTTCTAATAGAATATAACTCAATATTTGGTGCATTTCCAGACACCCATACAAAAGACTACATGGATAGTGAAATCTGGATCCCAAATTATAATCTATATAGATGTGACAGTAATTAGGTCAAGTGGAAGAGCAGGTCTGTTTATTAAAGAGGAACTGGCATGCACAGAGCTCCTGAACTCGAGGTGACCAATGAGGTGGTAGAGGTACAGTACTTGGAATGAAGGTAGAAAATATAAATCTAATTATTATTCTAATATACAAACCACCAGATGCAACAGTTGAGGAATTCACTGAGCAGATCCACAAAATAGAAAATATCCTTGATAACCTAGCAAACCCAGTACCAGATATTATCTTCCTTGGAGACTTCAATCTACATAGTTTAAAATGGAGAATAGTAAACAATAACATTATAGCAGTAAATCAACCTGGAAATAATCAACCACAGGTCAGAGAACTACTGAGATTCTGAGACAAATTCTCGCTCAATCAGCAGATTACAGAACCAAACTAGGACCAAAAACACGCTGGACCTGATATTCACGAACAATGATGAGCTAATCAGAGACATTACCGTCTCAGACACTACGTACTCGAACCACAAGCTCATTGAAGTGCAAACTAACATTAATAATGGTAGTAGGTCCAAGAGAAACAACAAGCGAGAAGGGCTATTCAATAAATTCAATTTTAATGATAAAAGGATGGACTGAGAGAAAATAAACAGGGAACTTGCAAACATTCAATGGGAAAATGTTCTAAGTAATAAAAATCCTACATAAGGAATAGAAAAACTGACTTCTGAAGCATATGAAGCCTGTCTTAAACATGATCCTTTGAGGAAAGCCAGAAGGAGGTCCAACATAGAACGCAGACGACACTATAAAAGTAGAAAAAATTAACGGAAATGTTTGAGCAGACACTACTTTCCATACAAAGAAGGAATAATTAAAACAGGGAGATTGAAATTGAACAGAGACTGAAGCATTCATATCAGATTGAAGAAAGGCAACAAGAACAGAAAGCAATTCAAGAAATAAAGAAAATCCAAAATATTTCTTCACATATGCGAAATCAAAAGCAAAAACCACTGCCTATTTGTACTAGTGAAGTATCATACACTGAGGATGACACAGAAATTAGTGAAATACTAAAAAAGCAGTATGAGGACATGTTTAGCACTTCGATATATAGCATGAAAGTGGAAGATCCAGACAACTTCTTTATGCGTGATATCCAAACCCCTGTAAATATAGCTGATATAAACACGAGCATGGCAGATTTTGAAAGAGAAATTGACAGTATGCCCATGCATTCAGCCCCAGATCCAGACTCATGGAATTCAATATTTATAAAGAAATGCAAATAGCTAGTAGCACAGGCACTTAGTATAGTGTGGAGGAAGAGCTTGGTCACAGGAGAGATACCAGATGTGCTTAAAGCAGCAGACATAGCTCCTCTACACAAGGGAGGAAGCAAAGCATTGGCAAAGAATTATAGACCAGTTGCACTAACATCCCACATAATAAAAGTATTTGAGAGAGTGATCAGGAGTCAGGTCACTAGTTTCATGGAAACCAATGACCTCCACAATCTAGGCCAACATGGATTTAGAGTGGAAGCTCATGCCTCACAGCTACTTGACCACTACGACAAAATCACCGAGTCATTAGAAGAAAAACAGAATGCAGATGTGGTATACACGGATTTTGCAAAGGCATTAAATAAATGGGATCATAGCACACAAAACGAGATCAATGGGTAAAACTGGTAAGGTAGGATGCTGGATACTCGGTTTTCTGTCAAACGGAACACAAAGAGTAACAGTTAACCATATAAAATAGTCCAAGTGCAGTTAAAAGGTCTGTACCTCAAGGTACATTCCTTGCACCACTGTTTTTCCTTATTCTCATATCAGGTATAAACTCAAATACAAGGCACAGCTTCATATCATCCTTTGCAGATGAAACAAAAATCAGCATGAAAATTACCTCTGCTAAAGACATTGAAACACTACAAGCAGATATTAATAAAGTTTTCGACTGGGCAGCAGAAAATAACATGATATTTAACAGTGATCAATTCCAGGTACTCAGGTATGGTAAAAATGAGAACCTTAAACATAATACAGAGTACAAAACACAATCAAATTTGCCCATAGTAGGAAAACAACATGTAAAGAATTTGGGAATAATGATGTCTGACGACCTAACGTTTAGGGGGAGCATAACCAAGCAAATATTACATCAGCCAGAAAAATGATAGGATGGATTATGAGAACTTTCAAATCCAGGGATCCCATCACAATGGTTGTACTCTTCAAATCACTAGTGTTGTCCTGTCTTGAGCTCAGTACTCGCTTCCCCCTTCAGAGCAGGAGATTGCTGAAATAGAGGGAGTACAGAGAACATATAAGGCATTCATAGACACGATAAAGCACCTAAATTATTGGGATCGTCTCAGAGCTCTCCAAATGTACTCGTTAGAAAGAAGACGAGAGAATTTAAAATAATATACATGTAAAAAACACTGGAGGGCCAGGTCCCAAATGTACACAGTAAAATATCAACATGCTGGAGTGAACGATATGGAAGAAAATGCAGAATAGAACTAGTGAAGACCAGGGGTGCCATACGCACAACCAGAGAACACTGTATAAACATCGGAGGTTCACTTTCGTTCAACATCCTCCCAGCTAACATAAGAAATATTGCTGGAGCAACCGTGGACATCTTCAAGAGAAAACTAGATAGTTTTCTCCAAGGAGTGCCAGACCAACCGGGCTGTGGTGGGTATATGGGCCTGCGGGCCGCTCCAAGCAACAGCCTGGTGGACCAAACTCTCACGAGTCAAGCCTGGCCTCGGGCCAGGTTTGGGGAGTAGAACTCCCAAAGCCTCATCAAGCAGGTCTTTGATCTTGTTTTAACTCACTCATTCTGGCATAGCATGAACTAAAACATCTCGAGAAAGACCGGATTTGTCCCAATGTGTGTGTGACAGAAGTGTGTTGCCACTGAGGAGCATCTGGATTTGTGGGGAAGTACTGTGCTCACCCAATTGCATTCACCCATTTGTGAATTGAGTCCAGCTCCTGGGTTCTCTCTCAATCGAGAATTGACCATTTTAACCCTCTCCGATACATTTTGCTCTGCAGTACAGTATTTAAATTTGTGTATGCAGTGTTTCTTCACTACTAAAAATACTATTAATATTAATAAGGCAAAGAATAAGTCACAGTACCATGGCTGAAAATAATAATACACAGTGAAATGTAAGGAAAGTCACAACATTTTGGTCCATCCTGGAGCCTTATTAAATGTAAGCTGAAAAGCAAAGGAAAGGAAGCCATTGTTAGGCAAGAGAGGTGAGGTGAGGTGAGGTTTAAGTGGAAAACACGAAGCATTAAAATTGGGCTGTAAATAATTTCTGTAATTACTGTACTATACAGTACAGTAGCTAACTCTTTCATACACACATCTGTCCTACATTTTTATTTATTTTTACACAGGTTGAGTAATGTTTTTACACTTTTTTCTTAAGTCACTGTGCCCAGTTTTCTTACTTTTCAATTTTGTGTCAACAGAATCCACTTCTATTTATTACTTTGACAACTCTTGCCACATCGTTATTCGACCAAGCACTTCCTCTCACTCTCCAGTGGGTTTGTGCAATGTCACAAACCTACTTTGCATTCTTAATCAAATGGCCATTTTTTATTGCATGATTTCAACACTTCATAAAGTCTCATTGGTTCGTTGTCTCTTGTTCCAAGATCTCGTATCATCTTTCCATTTGTGCTCATAGCCTGCAGCTCTCTCTATCTTACCTTTCACTATTTAACATTTCATGGTCACATGATGACACGATCCTCTAAATGCCACCCATTCTCATTTAACTTGGCCCCCAGCCCTGGGCTGGGACCCTTGGATCGAGGGATCAGGGGTCGAGCCTGACCCCAGGCTGGGCTCAGGGGAGTAAAATAACTCCTGAAACCCCTCTCTAGGTATGCTCCTGGTAACCTGTTCCTTTCAACAAGTGGGATTCTGGAGTGTTTCAAGCGTTCAGTGTTCGATATATATATATATGAATGAGTTTGGGTGGATGTACATAGGAGCTACAGTACTTCATACTAGCCAATAGGCCTTAGACTATTGCTTTAATATGGTAAATGCAGGCTTTTACAAGGAACTTAGTAAAGCAGGGTTTAAGAATATTGGGATAAAAACTTCAATATAATTATGATGGTTATTAATAACAAATAGCAGGTCATTAGCAATCAAATTTTTTTCTTTCTTTGTATTCATCAGTTATTTTTTCTGTGAAAATTTAAACAAAAATACTTTATCAGTGAAGTACTAGTTTGTACAGTACTGTATATATATTATTGACTATGGGTATGAGAGCATGCAGGTGTTACAACATGGTGGTGTTTTATTTTGCAGGATCCGCTAAATCCTCAAGAAACTGTTATTGTGATACGTTCATTAGTTCCTGGGGGAGTAGCTGAAAAGGATGGCCGTCTGATTCCCGGTGACCGTCTGGTTGCTGTTAATGGCACCAATCTTGAAAATGCAACTCTAGATCAAGCTGTGGCAGCCCTCAAGGGAGCTCCTAAGGGCATTGTGTCAATTGCCGTTGCCAAACCAATCAGCGTTCTGGAGTCAACTGGCCAGGTGAGTAGTGCCATGGGTCCTGTAGAGGGTAATGATGGCAACAGTTCGCAAACAATGATTGAGAATTCAGGGTTGCTTGGAGTGTCTCCAGGAAGTTCTGCACTTGTCAAATCTGAGAGCTTCTAAGGCATGTTCCTGCTGGACCGTTTTAGTTAATCCTTGCTTATTTAGACCGTGACCAAAAATAATGATTGAAGTCTTCCTGATTCTTCGTGAATTGTAGCATAATAATTTTGGGATTCTCATTGGCACATACTGTTGAGCTTTTGTATAATATTCACAAAGAGACGTAATTAACAAGGATTAACTCACTGCGGGGGGCCTTAACATTTTGATGTTAATGGAAAGGACCACAGTTGGTACAAGCGTAAAAGTCATTCATCATATTGTATTTTGGCAATGAAATAATATGAGTGTAACTAATGGGGGTCTTTTTGGAGATGGTCCATCATGTGCCCTCTCTGTTTTTGCATTGCTTTTCTTCTTTAAATTTAATACCCAGTCTGTTTATTTGTGATCGGTTGGTTTTATGTTGTGGTTGGGCAAAGTCTTGATTGTTTCATATGTCTATCATGAGCTGACAGCAAAGCCTATGGCTGTTATGGGCTGAAGCTATAGCCTATGACTGTCAAAAGTGGAAGTCATATGGCTGTCAAAAGTGGAAGTCACATGGCTGCCAAAATCATAAGTCATATGGCTGTTAAAAATGCCAGCCATATGCATAAGGCATAGACATCTGCTAATGCCTTGATTAGGTATTTGTGACTCAAAGTTTACATACCAGCTATTATTTACTCACTAATGTCTCTTTAAATCGTGCTTATTATTTGCGCTCCGTACTGGATGGCTTGGCACTCACAATTGTTATCTGCTTAATATATGACACTCACAATTAAACCATAAGCTTTTGAAATGATATTTGTGTTTTTAAATAGGAAATTGACTCCTAGTTTACTTTGGAATTGAGGGATTATTATTTTTAACACAAATATTGGATGCATATACACATGCATGTGTGCACACATCCATACACACACACATACACGCACACGCACACACGCGCACACGCACACGTGCATAGAATCATGCACACACAGACCAACAGTGAGTGGTAGTGTCCACAGTAGTAAACTTGAGGAGGTTGGGTGCACTGTATAACTACAGGAAATGTTACCACTACAGTAGTTACGGTAAAACGCTTCAGAAAGATGGATACTTCAAGCATAGCTTTCTTAATGTAGACAAATCCTAACAAATGAATAATAACACACATACTCGGTACCATACATACTGGACACGCATTCACACATGTTGTATATCCATGCACATACTTTACTGCTTTCATATATGTTTAAAATATCATTTTCTTATGATTTAAATACAATTCTTTTATACTAGAAGGAATATTTAATAGATAATTTTCAGACAGGAGGAATTAGAGGATCACGGACAAAATGCTAATAAAGACACTCTTGCCCAAACCAGAGTAATAAGCAGCTAGGATTTTTGACAAATTAGTTACTAACACTTGGCTCTATAATAAATGCAGAGGCAACTAAAAAAATTCTGACCTAAATTCTATATTGTAGAATACTGAAAAATCCAGAAAGATTTTGCTACTGGCACCAACATTTTTGTATTTCTAGGGTTTCTGTAATATTAAGGTCCGAGTTTTCGAGGTTCTTCTGCATATAATTCGTGTGTGACATGTAGGTAATACAGGTGGGGGTATGGAAGTTACTTCAGCTATCTTATAATACCTGAACATCTTGGCTATCTTGCGTACACTCACATTCACACGAGCTTTTATAGAAACACTCATGCCTATACACTCGCATCTCAAAACTATAAAACAGGTGTACTGTATATGGAAATACATTAAATTTCTTTGTTTTTATTTTTTATTTTTATTTTTTATTTTTTTACATTAGTTTTACAGTATGCTATTCAGTCTTCTTTTGAGTGCATCCTATTTTTTCAAAATGTTTAAATTTGCATTGGGAAATTGATTGAAAAATTTCATATGATCCATGGATAACACTTCTGTACTTTTGAACATAAATCATTCAATATTATTTTTGTGATAACTAGATAATTAAAAAAAATTAATATGAAAATTAAAAAAAAAAATAAAAACTCACATTTCTTCCATCATTATGAATTTTAATTATCATGTGGGTTTTTCTTTTTTATTGACGCCACTGAAATTGCGGGCAGGTTTGAAACTCGGTAATTAAATAAAAGTATGAAGTCTGAGACTGTCATAAATAAGCATTAAGAACTTGTGCTTATGTCTGTATGAAGGCCAATAAAATTCAGACCAAATTTCAGCTTGCAAAGAATTTTGTATTGCAATTAAATGGTTTAGACAGATGTAGCTGGTATGTATTACATTAGAAAGGTCCAGGTGGAATCATCAGATAGGGGTATGGTTTGAATTGCTGTGATTTGCTCTTATCTGGATCCGTTCTGCCGTTTTTTATTGCAAGTGCAGCACCGTAGTCAATACACTTGATTTGATAGATTGAACCAGCATATTGATATTAGAGGCTGGTGAGTCAGTGTAAAAAATTAATACAGTTAGCTATGCATAAAATACTGAACATCTGGTTAATGAGTTAATTTGGATTTCAGTATTTACCTACCTGCTAAATAATTGATATGACTGAGATGTCACTTTTTCTTGAAAAACAATGGTTAGTATGGAAATTGTTTGAGTAAGTGTAAGTTTGTGTGTGCAGCCTGCTCTGGAAGTAAGTCCAATGGAACTATGGGTCCAATATCTGACCATGATAAATTACCTATTTGATTGCATTTGTATATATTGCACTAGAAGACCATATAAGTTTATAAGGCCAAGCATGGTACTGGAAACCTTTGTATTCTGTCTTTAGAAATTGTTTGTGTCCTTTTGTAGCCCTTTCTCTAGTTTTTTTGCTTTTGGATTTACTGTATACTTCCCTCTCAGTCTGGCTGCATGTGTGAAGGTGTTAATTGAACAGGTTACAAGAACTTATGCAATAAGAATTATTCCTATTGAAATCTGATTACTTAATGACATGTTCTCGGTTACTACATCCACCACCTGAGAGGACCATATGGAGCGGAATGTTTCTTTCTCGATAACTATTGGGTGCAGCGGAGGACTTATTTCTTCATTTATTTTTTTAGATTTGGTAAACAATAGCATATATTGATGCTCCGTATCATGTTGAATTGTATTTATTCTTCACAATGTGTTCACATTTGAATTGTAAGTAGATATTCTTGAATTGAGATATTCTATATAATTACATAAAGATATTTTGATACTGTAATGTGCATGAATTGAGTCATAAGGTAAGTTTTATCCTTGCTTAACAAATTTTATTATTGTGCATCCAAAAATCATTTATGGAATCTCGTTAGTATGAATGAAAATTTATCCAGTGTGAATCTTACTGGATGTGCGAATTACTTGCCCCTAGGAATTAATCAGAATGTTGTCCATTTATTGTTTTGTGTAAATGAAGAGTTGTCTATTAAATAATGAAGGACTTAAGTCCTATGTCCTTTGGCATGTTATGTTCTCAATACAAAAAATATGATTATTATTGGGGAAAAATCTGATTATAAACATTTCAAAATTTTTTACGTTCTGCTCTGTACGAAACTGTTGCTTGACTGATTATACTGTTGATTAATAAATTTGTAAAATACTTTTTTTTTCAATCTTATACTTCCTGAACCATCTGTCTACAAGGAGTGCACATACACATTGGTGTGTGATGAATTAGAAATAATCAGATATTTAAAAAACATTTACCTTACTTTTTCCAGTATGCAGTGCTATGTTTTAGAATACAGTACTACATTTAGTATACCCTATTTCATAATACAGTACTCATTCAGTATTAGTGCTGTATTTCAGAATACAGTACAGTACTGCTATGATTCAATTTTCAGTGCTGTATGTCAGAATACACTACTGCAATCAGTATAAAGTACTGTATTTCAGGGTACAGTGTTGCATTCAGTATACAATGTTGTATATCAGTATATCATAAAGAATTGTTGTAGAAAATAAAACAAACGATGTTTGGGGAATATGTACTGTATTTTCATATCTTACATGTATTATATTGTAGTCCTCTCATCCACATCTGAAAAAAATACAAAAAATATATAAGTAATTTTTTATTTTAAGGTTTCTGACATTTGATCTAAAATATTTATAGATTTAAATATGAAAGGAAATTTTATTAGAAACTAAAATGATAGAAAAAAATGACTATACAAAAAAATTAAAGCTTTCTTAAATTCTTTAAATTCTTTAAATTATTTTATTTATATAAATTGAATAGTTCTACAATTTTGAAAGATATATGGAAAGGTGTAAATGTAAATTATATATGAGGGAGTGTAAAATTAACACCTTACTGTGTAGTAGGAGACAATATATTGGACATTTGCCCCCAATTTCTGAATACAGGAGAGCTTCAATTCAAATTAATCATGTCCTGAAATTGAATTGACTGACTTGCACTTACGAGCTAAAGTGGATCAAAGCTTACCGACAACAAGCATAAGTGATGAGAAATTGTACTCGCCTAGTTGTACTCACCTAGTTGTGCTTGCGGGGGTTGAGCTCTGGCTCTTTGGTCCTGCCTCTCAACTGTCAATCAACAGGTGTACAGGTTCCTGAGCCTACTGGGCTCTATCATATCTACACTTGAAACTGTGTATGGAGTCAGCCTCCTCCCACATTGCTTCCTAATGCAATCCATTTGTCAACCACTCTGACACTAAAAAAATTCTTTCTAATATCTCTGTGGCTCATTTGGGCACTCAAGTTTCCACCTGTGTCCCCTAGTGCATGTGCCCCTTGTGTTAAATAGCCTGTCTTTATCAACCCTGTTGATTGTCTGCCCTTCTTGGCGTGTATATTGTTAGACAATGAGCATTTATCATTCGTATTATTATGAACTAGTTTTTTTTTACTATTAATCATGTAGAACACATGCTATTGAAGACTGAGTCAGACAGTATAAAGTAGGTGGTTGGATAGTTCAAACCAAATTTGACTATGGTGCTCATTTTCAGAGATGATTTAGTAATTTAATAATGTGCTCTTAAGAGCAATGAGCAATTTGCGTTTGTAAATTGTTTAGGTTCACGTTACTTTCAAAATGATATTCCAGTCAAATGAATCCAATTAAATATAAGCTGACCATCAGTTAAACTTTATTTAGTTTTATTGATTCTTGTCTAATTATATTTGAATAAACAGTAAGTTACAAGTATAAGATAATTACAATACCATAAATGAGTATGAGCACTGTATAAAAATCCAGTATAATATTTTTGTTTAATATACAGTAATGTATTTCCTGATAAATTTACAGGTTTTATTGCATGAAAGGGATGAGAAATATGCCAAATATAACTTAGAAGGGTGTAGTATAAATAATCTTTATTTCATCATAATGTTTGAATTTATTCATATAACCTGATAGAGAAGAGGTTTTCATTTGTCTTGTTTTGGAAAAAGTGTGTAACATAAAACAAGTAAATTTTCGTACCTGACAAAAATGCGTGGACTTTATTGTTATTTTATGCATATGTAATTTGTTCTTAGGAAGGAGATAGTGTGGAAAATACTTGCTGTGACATAAGTATTTGTTCTGTTTTTACTTCAGCTTTCAACTTGAGCAGTTCATATATAATTCATTCCTACATATAATTAAGGAATGTCAGTTTGATGTTGACTATGATGCAAATGTTGGAAGTGATATAATTACTGGGTATATCTGACTTTTTAAAGTTTATTAATCAGTATTTTTCCAGTGTACTATAGTATATTATAAATTTTGTCTTATCAGAAAGAAATGGAAAAAATGTTACATGAAGACACTTTGCAATATTAGCATTTATTTGACAATATTTTACTGAAGTGTAAGCCTTATTGACTGTAGTCAGTTGTTAAACTTACCCAGTTTAATTGAAGTGTAAGACTCTTAATATTTTCTCAGGAGTGACTCATATCAAGTTAAGTACAAATAGGAACTTTTCAAACTTGAGGTGCTGCAGGTAATGTTTTTGAACAGCATATTTTTGAAGTTAAATAAAATATTTATTTAATCCTTGATAAAAATATATGGAAATAAGTTTACAATACTTGATATAGTATTTATCTGCATATATCTCAATGAAAAGAAATAGATCCATTAATGTTCTTTTCTGGGTTTCTAACTCCTGTTACAAAGAAGAAAAGTATTAAAATTTAAAACTTAAGTTTCTTAGCCACGAATAATTGTTTTTCTTTGGGCCTGACAAAAGGGTAATTATAGTCTGGTTACTTTCTAGTTCATGGATTGATTTTCAGGCTGTACACGTAGCAGTAATTTATTGTAGTGATTGTAGACAATTGTATGATAATATTAAAGTGTAACAAAAGTATTAGAATTCAGCTCATTTTGACAGGGTGTAATTATGTTAACCAACTACTGAATGGGTTGTTACTGAAGAACTAAAAAAAAATAAAGTTCACTAGTGTACAGGTGCAAGATCTATAAGAAATATCATCAAATTAATTACAGAATGTTGAGATTCAAAATGCCAATGATTATATAGTGTGTAGTGGCAAATACTTCAATGAAATGAACGGAGAGCTTCAGGTCTGATTAATGTTGTGTAATTTATAGTCCAACCAAAAAGAAAGGAAGAAAGGAAGAGTGATAATGAAGATGAGACTAAGTAGGTGATATGGAGAAGAGTGTGTGATAGAAAAATGCCCAACACTGATAAACATGGCAACATGGGACTAAATAAATACGATGGTAAAAATTCGTAAGAGGGTTGTGAAACGGCAATACACTACTATCGTTAACGATATCAAGGATAAGATAAAAGGGCTTGAAGGCGTTTTAAAACAGAAGCAAGTGAGGAAGCTAGGAAGGATGCGAATATTGTTAAGGATATTGAGAAACTCATGATTGGAATAAAGAAACTAGTGGAATTTTGCAAGGGGGGTACCTGACAGGAAACAGGAGAAATCCAGCTGAATGGAAGTGAATAGCAGGGTCCCCCAAGAATTAGCCCTAACCCTGTCACCATTCTTAATCTGAATAAATAACCTACTTAAGTGTGTACATTTGAACATAACCATGTTTACAGATAACACAAAATTAATGAGGTGAATAAAAAATTGAGGACTATAGTGTGCTGCCTGAAGACCTTGACAAACTCCAGCAGTAGACAGACTTGTGGCTGTGAGGGTTCAACTCAATCAAGTGTAAGGTAATGAATATGAGAAACAGTGTAAGAAGACCAGAAGGAATCCTTACCATAAGGGAAGGGCAACTATAAGACCCAGAGAAAAAGGCTTGGAAGTGGACATACTTCCAACACTAACAATAGAGGCACAAATAAACTGGATGATATCTTCAGCACATGGGGAAGCTAGCAAACATGATAACGGTATTTTGGTATCCATACAATAACCACTTATGATACTTTATCTTATCCAGCATATGTTAGACCAGTATAGTTTTGCAATGCACAGCACAGAATAGATTCTGAACAATGTGAAGCATAAGAGAAACTTGAAAGGTACAGACGTCTGCAAGAAGGTTAATACTGTACAGGAGTGTACTTGAATTAAGACATCTGAGTTACGAGGATAGGTAAAGAGTACTCAACCTAATAGGTCAGAGGAGAGATGGACCATATGAGAGATGATTGCAGCACACAAAATACATAGGGAAATAAGACATTGTTGATAAGAAAACCTATTTAAAATAAGAGAAAACAGGACATAAGCACATTGGTGGAAGTTGGAAGCACCAGTGATTCATAACAACATAAGGAAGCATGGTACATGTACTCTACAGATATGCAACAAGTGGAATGCAGTGAATGAAGATGTCATAAATTTAAAAACAAATATGACAGAAAACAAACATAAAGTGCTTTAGAAATCCATGTTATTGCCCAGTGTCACTAATAGGTAAACACTACACATCGTAATTTAAAATATTTTCCCTGCAAATGTGTGTGATATTGTGAAAATTCTGTTTTAAGTCTGAAAGTTGAGTTTTTGTTTTGATAGTTGGGTATTTAGTTCCCTCCCTTACCATTCAGAGGAGGTCACTCAGCCTCTAAATCCTGCCATCATTTCTCGCTTGGTCAACCACAAACGACTCCAGCCAGGTCGGTCATTAGCTTGAGGCAAACTTATGCATCCCGTCTCTTAACTTTATAGAAAGTTCACTATTAATGTTTTCCTCTCCCCAAGATGCCACATCCCGGGTTCTGAAAGTTTGATAAATCAAACTTTTAATTTGTAATGTACAGTATGTGAATAGATAGGAAAGGGCATTTTGATTTTTAAGAATACCTGTACTGGTAATATTGGTTGCATTGTTAGATATGCCTGGCATTGGGACCAGGTGGAATGCAAGTACACTACAGTACAGCAGTACAATATAAAACAAGGATTCTTACACAGTAGTTTACTATAATTTATATTTATGCTATGAAAGAAATTACAATGAAGCTTTGCAATGAAATTAATCTGTAAAATTAACTTAATCAAAAAACGGCTTATTAGTAACGTAATCAAACTCAAACAAAATCTTTACTACTACAGTACTACTATTGTGTTCCTATCTACCGTGTGGCTACTTTGTTGTGGTTCCGGGGAATAACATCTTCACAGCTCAGTTTCTGACCAGGCCTCCTGGTTGGTCATCTGGTCAATCAGGCTTTTGAACACTTAAATCAAGTTAAATTTTCCTCAAGTTTATAGTCTTAACCTTCCGGAATATTGTTTGGCCATCCAAGAAATTGCAGGATTTCACTTGCAATTTCCTCAATCTTCAGGAACGAATCAAAGTAAAATCTATATGATGATGATGATAGTTTTGTCGGGAACATGACGTCTATGTATATACTGTATACACCAACCTATCCTCCTGTATAGATAGTACTGCACTTATTGTGACGACCATCAATAGTCAGGAATTCATATGTTCTTAGCTTTTAGATATTTGTATACCGACTAGTAAGGAATTCTTTTAAAATGGAGCAAAAACACAAACTTAAATATTCCTAGGCCTAGTATAGCGCGCACATGTACTATATTAGGCCTCAGATATCGTGT